CCCCCCCCCCCATTTTGCTCTGGGAAGAGAAAAGTCATTAAAACAAGCAGTCCCTTTGCTACACTGCTTGTGGATCATCCCACTCCCAGATGGGATGTCTGTGCTGCAGCAGGGTTCGTTAGACTGGATTTGCATAGTCTGGGTTTATATTTGGTTTCTAGCTTTGGATGGCTTATTTCATTCCCAGGGGGTCTGATATGTCTTTTCCTTTTGCAGGGTTTGGAGATACACTAACTCCGTAACAACCTCAGAGAGCACAAATGCTGAGAGTTAATTTATTAAATACAGCCAACATGAGTGATATTTCCCTGGGCACTGATTTATCAGGAGCGGGAAGGAGCAGACAGTGCAATCCCACTATCCATACTCCATTGCAAAGCATCAGCTATTCGGCACACACGTGACTCCTGTCCTTGTGGCTTAGCTCCGCTCCACTCTCCCACCGAGGCAGAAATCCTAACTGCTGTGATCCCTGGACTCCTGCTCTTAAGAAGGCAGAGGGAAAGTCCGTGAGATGAATCCCAGCATTTGCACCCCAAAGCAGCAAAATGTGCCCCAGCCCTGTGAGCACCAGTATAGAGCAGGTGCCCACAGCACCCAGGCAGCGACTGCAGGAGCTGGCAGAGAAGCGTCTGTGCTCCTGCAGTGCCTGCTCTGAGGGTTGCTGCTGCCCTGGTGCCAGCAAGGCTGGCAGTCCCATCTTTCATGTAATATGTCCCTCCCTCCAAGGTCTTTTTGCTCGTGGCTCAGAGCACCAGCCCCTAAGGGCACGGCTCCCCTCCCAGCAGCTCATCCCAGAGTCCTGACCCCAGCTGGAGCCAGCAGTGCCAGATAATAATCAGGGAAGCAGAGAAATGAAGGTTGTAAGGTCACGCACCCCAAGCAGTACCTCTGCCACCCTCCATCAATCCACGCAGATGCATGCATTGCTCCTTCAGGGACAGAGACTGACACTCCCCTGAGCCCTACTCCAGGACGCCACTGCTCCTGCCTCAAGGACGTTTTACAAAATCTGACCTGAACCCCTCTCACTACAGATGAAATCCATTCCTGCCTGCCACCATGGTGCAGAGATCATGCTGCTGCCTTGCCCATGCAGGCCCCTTTCCCATCCCCATCCCCCCAACAAGCCCCAAGCCCCAGGGGCATAGCTCTCCCTTGGGGCCTCTCTGCCTTGCACAGACAGGAACCCCTCTGCTCGTGCTCCCATTCCACATCTGTGCTCCCACCAAACACTTTCCTTGAGTCTGCAGGCAACAACATCCTTTCTGTCAGTCCATTCTGCCTGTTCATCAAACCCACTTTGAAATCTCAGCCCAGTCTCCAGCCCTCTTGCATCTCTCTCAGCCCGGTGGCATCTGCAACTGTCATAAGCAGCTCGTGTCCCATCACACAGACACCTAATGGAAACATGGATGAGGCTCAGACCCCAGACTGACCCCTCTGCTCAGAACTGGGGGACAGAGCAGCTGCAACCTTTCATCCTACACTTTTATTGCATTTTTCAAGTCTTCTCAAGATTTCACCGGCTGCTTAAATGTAACTGAGTCCCAGCACAGCCCTGCTGAGCTGCTCAAGCAGCAAAAGGCAGGGTAAGAGCCTTTCCCAGTCCCAGGAGAGCTGGTTGCCTCCAGTGCTGGCACAGAGGGACACTCACCCCTGCAGCCCATATGGGCAGGGCTGGGTGCTAACTCCATCTGGTACAAGGGGATTACAGGGTGCTGCTGCCCGCTGCTTGGGGAAGGGACACTGGGCGCCCACACCCTGGGCTGACACAGCTACACAAGGAGCTCAGCACCTTCTCCTTTTCCTTCCCATCCCTGTTCTGACCAGACCCCTCAAGAATAGCAAAGTGCCCACAGGATCTATCGAAGTCCC